GACATAGCAGGCTTCTGTGTGGTGTCACTCTACTTTGACCAGTTTCTTTTGTCTAAGTTCCAGATTTTTGGTACTCCAAGGATTATTGTTTCACTGTGTAGTTTGATGCCTTCAACCACTTGTATTTTTGACTTGATATTGCAAACAAAGATGAAAAAGTAATTACATGGATGGAAAAGGGAAGAAGAAAAGGGAAAAGAACTAAATTGTCATTTTAGTGACATACCTCACGTGAATCCACTGCTGCATACATAATATCCGTCCAGCCTTTAAAAGTTGCCTGAAAAAAAATGCATTATTAAGTTTGTTATAGCTAAGAAAAAAAAAATAGGTATAGCTAATATAAATGTGTTGATAGTTGTGGAAAATGAGCAGTATGCTATAAAAAATATGTATCACATCTAAAGATCTGCTGGGAAGTATCACTGGAGTTTAGTAAAGAGAAAAAAAATACTTCTTGAAAACTAAACAAAAACAAACAAGCAAACAAACAAAAATATTTTCTGAAAAGAAAAAAAACATGATACATGTGAAGTGTCTTAATGTTAATTCTTGTTAAATTAATTTTTTTTGTAAAAAAAATAAAATGGTAAAATTTTCAGCTTAACTTGCAAGTATAAAAAGGATAAAAACAATTTCTAAGAAAACAGCAAACAATTCCTTCCTGCAATTTTTAGCAACTCTGCAGAATCATAGAATACTTTGGAGGATCCAGGGCATAGAACTTCAGCTAAAAAAGATACACGCAAAACACATGATTTGAAAAATGCCTTTCTCTCCTTTGTTGTCATGTTAGGGAGCTCAATAAATTAGTATCCCAATCCTTCATGACTTCTACAGCAAAAGAAAATATAAATAAACTGTGCCCTGATTTTCTTTCTCATCCACTCTGAACGAGAGAAAATGAGAATATTTATAATTCAGTAACCTGCAGACTATTTCAGGTTTAGAGTATTAATCAAAATTAAAACAAAACTGAAAAGCCATGAAACAGAGTTCTTGATTTTATGAGTTCTTGAGCATATGCTCAAGTGTTACTTAGGAGGAACTGAGCAGGTCAGCAATATGGAAAATATTTATGGAAGCTAAAAAATATCCCCAATTTCACTGGGATAAACAGAAGCATAGTGGCATCCCATGGTTGGGCTGCTCAACCCATTTCCTTGAAGAAAACAAAACTGAGAATGTTTTTATAGAACTCACCACTTGGAGCAG